GAAACTCAGGTGGGAGAGGTACTGTGGCTGGGGATGAGAAGGCTGGGAGTTTAAGTATTTATTTTTGCTTAAAACATGATGCAAAAAAGAGTAATATTCCACACGGTACGAATGATCAGCGTTAACAGATTATGCCTGTAGGCATTTATCAGTGCACAATGAGTGGAGGAAACGGGCAGGTCATTAGTATCAAGTCCATTTTCTAATTTGTTTTTTTTTATTCTTTTGCCTTGTGTAGATCTGCAAAGCAGATGAAAAATTTAATCAGTTGGTGCATTTTCTTAAACAGCACAAACAGGAGAAACATCTAGTCTTTTTCAGGTAATTTCATTGAGGAAGTAGCCTGGTTGGTTATTACTTAAATGCCAGAACTTGCCTTGTGTTGACAAGGTCACAACTATTTTAAAAGTTATTAATTTTCATAGCTGTCTTGTAGAATATGATGCCTAAAAAGAGATTGATCATTCCTTCATATCAGGATTGTGTTGAACTTTGTTAAGCAGAACATGCTTTTAAAATGCATATAAAATTTAATATGTTATAGGTGATTATGTGTTAATTGTAAAAATGATGTGCCTATTTTAAATAAAAATAGGCAATAGCGTGTAGTTTTGAAAGGTCTCAGACCGCTCTGGCTTCACTGTTGAAACCAGATGAAAAATGCAGCAGAATTTTGCTTTCGTGTCTGTCTTTATCACAACAGCACGTGCGCCTGCGTGGAATACTATGGCAAGGCTTTGGAATCCTTAATTAAACAAGTGAAGATAATGAGCATCCACGGGAAAATGAAACACAAGCGCAACAAGATTTTTACCGAGTTTCGGAAGCTCCCAGGGTGAGAACCTAGGAATCGGCTAAGCCGAGCAAAAGCAAAAATAGTGAGGGCTGTGTAATTTTGGCTGCTGATGTTCTCCTGCTGGTTCAGCGCGCAGTGCCGTGCTGAGGGGAAGGATGCTGGAGCTGCTTAGAAAGCCGGAGGAGTGTGCGCAGTGTAAATCGGAAGCACGAACTCCTCAACGTGCTACTCCATCAAGTGGGAGAAAAATGAATGTATTTGTAATAACACAAACGATGCTTAGATACTCAAAGTGTGACGACAAACAAAGTGCAAATGTGACGAGCATGTCCAGCCTAATTTAGATAATCCCTGTGGTGGCACAGAAGGTGCAGGGACGTGGATTTAGGATGTCCTGCAGCCCGGGACCCTCTGAAGGTGGCGGTGCGTGCTGGCCAGAGGTACGCTCGAGGAACCTGTCCCTGCTGCTGCTGGAGGCGCTGGGGTTGTAACTGGGGATGCTGTAGGGTCATGTGCTGCAAGCACACGGGAGCCTGGCTGTACCAACGCATCCTCCATAGGGAACTGGTGGTGAAAATAACCTTCTCCTGTTTGGTAACCAGAGTGGGCCCACAGGATACTCTTTTATTAGTATTGGAACAAGGATGTGGCAGTGCGATGCTGTGATTTACCTGCAGTGTTCTTTGTCGCTCGCATTTGTTACTGCATGGGGAATGAGGTTTAGTGTTTTATATTACAAGAAATATAATTGTTATCAGACTGAAAGAACAGCTCTTTAAAATAACCTGCTAATATTGTCAGTCTCTTCAGTCTTTTATTAAAACGTTCATAGTGTTACGTTCAGCTGCGGTGGGTGTAATGATTTAAAAGTAGAACTTGTAATAGGAAATTGCTTTTTCTTAGTGATCTAATGTAAAGCACATTCCTTTTCATAATGTTATGTAGAATTTTAATCTGTGAAAGCTGCAGCTAGCATAAAATATTTTGTGTTTTTTCAAAAATCAAATGTTTTTGACACTATCTCCAGTGTAGATGCAGAATACACAGCTTGGGGGAGACTGGCTCTTCTCAGATGACAACTTAATGAAAATACGCTTTTTCTTCTTCCTAGTGGCATTTTAGCTTGCACTGATGTGATGGCCCGTGGCATAGACATCCCAGAAGTGCACTGGGTTCTGCAGTACGACCCACCCAGCAGTGCAAGGTACAGCTGCAGATCTTAAGAACCTTGACTTTACTCATGGTTGTGTTACTGTGCTCTTCACATATAAATTGGGAACGCGCAGCTGCAGAAAAGACATTCCGTTACTGCCTGGAACTTAGTCTGGAGTGACACACAAAATAGTGCATTGAGAAGGGAGGTTCGAACGCCACAAATTTTGTTGTAACTGCTGTGAATTGAAATGATGTCATGTTGTGTGTGAGTAAGGCAAATGTGCGGGCAGGGCCACTTCTGTTTGTGGGAAGTGACGCTGTGGTGTGAGGCTTAGTGTGAGAGCATCAAAGGACTCACGAGAGGCGAGACCCTCGGCTGAATAACAGAGATGAGAGCAGGAACAGGGCTCTTCAAGGAGTGGTACATTGAAAGTCGCACGAAACGCACTTTTCTGTGTATTTTAATGTCAGTTGTAATTCTCCCTGCAATTTGCTTCAGCTTTGCCCCCCAAACAGATATCCCTTGCTTTAGCACACACTAGAGCGGGACTGCTGTGTTGCACTTGATTAACGTCTGTTGCAAGGAAATAGCTCTCTGCTCGTGTCGTTTCAGTGCCTTTGTGCATCGGTGCGGTCGAACAGCACGGATCGGCAATGTGGGCAGCGCGCTTGTATTTTTGCTTCCCATGGAAGAATCTTACGTTAATTTTCTCTCAATCAACCAGAAGGTTAGTGGCCTCTTACTCTACCCTAAAGCCAGGAAAGGGCACGTGGACAGGCTCACTGATAGTAGTTTTGAAATCAGAATTTGTAGCACTTGGGCTTCTACCCCCAGCCCTGCCACCACCAGCTTACACGCTGCGCTCTCTGCCCTTTATTTTTAACTGTGATAATTTCCCATGCCTGCTCCTGCATGTGTGGGGTTAATTGTATAAGTTCTCTAGAGGCCTGCTAACGAGAACGTAGCTCGATGAAGCATGAGATGATGATGTTGCCCCTGTTGAGTTGCAGCATCTCCTCTGCTGGGCTGGGACACCTGAGTGCAGGACACTGAAGGGGGAAAGGGACTCAAAGCTGACTGACGTTTAACTGGGGAAGAAGAGTGCATTTGAGGTTTCACAGTGCGTTTTAAATCATTTGGCTGAACTTTTCCTTTGGTTTTATATCTCTTCACCGGTTTTCAGTGTCCCATGCAGGAAATGAAACCACAGACAAACGTGTTGGATCTTCTTCCCAAACTGAAGTCTATGGCCCTGGCTGACAGGGCAGTGTTTGAGAAAGGGATGAAAGCGTTTGTGTCTTACGTCCAGGCTTACGCCAAACACGAATGTAATCTGATCTTCCGAATAAAAGGTAATTCCCAGCAGGGGCTGGCACCTTTTTACTGCTCTTTTCAGAAGACAGTATTTGGCTTGGGGAAAAAAAACCAGTGGTGTTGTCCACAAGCTTCAACTACTGATTTCCGATTTACTTTATGCAGCGTTTTGCAGATTCTGACAAAACTCTTATTCTTTCAAACACCTTGTTTCTCTTTCATTTCAAGAGAAAACATTTGATTTGCAAGTTTGAATAAGCTGACTTAGGCATGTAAAAGTGATTTTTGTAACTTTCCTAGTATTAAGTACAGAATGCTTTTAAGCATAGGATTTATTTTTCTGTGACTTGCTTAACTCTTTATCCACCAGGAAACTAACTTCAAAATCTTTCTTTTACCAGATCTGGATTTTGCTAGCCTCGCCAAAGGTTTTGCATTATTAAAAATGCCAAAGATGCCTGAACTAAGAGGAAAATGTTTTCCTGACTTTACCCCAGTCACTGTTAATACAGACTCCATTTCCTTTAAGGATAAAAATAGAGAAAAACAGAGACAAAAGCAATTAGAACAACAAAGAAAAGAAAGAGAGGAAAACGGAGGGAAAAAGAAATTCATAAAGAACAAAGCCTGGTCAAAGCAGAAAGCCAAGAGGGAGAAGAAAAAGAAAATAACAGCTAAAAGGAAGCGTGAAGAGGTAAACTGTGCCCGTTCTATTAAACTGTGTGTGATTACCGTACCACAGGCACATACTTCAAAATGACAGAGTGCCGTGGGATTTTAGTTTGATGGAATTTACGGCTGTAAATTAACTTTTTAGGAGCTCCACAGGCAAAGCTTAAAAAATTGTAGGGAAGTTTTTTAAAGCCAAACACTGAAAAAAAAATTCTTAGCACTCCGACGCTAGTCAGCAATGCTGCCAGCAGCTGTAGCACAGATTTTTATTTCTCAGAGGTCCAGCAGTAATGCATCATGCTGGACAGCACTATTTTTTTATTTGGGGTTTTTTTCTTGCTTGGATACTCCTGGCAAAATATGAGTTCTAAACTTCTCTTGTGTTGAGCTGTATAGAATGAAAACCTGTGGTTGTTGTAGTTAATTTGTTGTTTTTCAACTGCCAACAGGGCTCTGATATTGAAGATGAGGATATGGAAGAGCTGCTGAATGACACGAGACTCTTGAAAAGACTAAAAAAGGGGAAAATTAGTGAAGAAGAGTTTGAGAAGAGACTAACAGGCAGCCAGAAGAGACTTAATGTAGAAACTGTTGCCGACTTAGAGTCTGAAGGCTGAGTTATTCTAAGACCACTCTTACATTAGAATACTGCCTATTTCAATAAAACTGTATTTTTGTAACAAAGTACTGATGCAGAGAGCTGAATAGATCTGATTTCTTCATAAAGAGACCTGGCATTCATAAAGACGTACAAACAAGCCTGCAGTTAAGAACAACGCTAAAAGCACCGCTCTTGTACGGAGCGGCAGGAGCTGCAGATTTCCATTATCAGCCTTGTACGCATTTTCATTTTGTGCTTTTTTGGGTACGTACCACAAATCAGTCAGTAACAGCAATCCTCAGAATGAGACCGAATACACTATTTGCGATATCGAAATACTCCACCCATCTTTAATTTATTTTAGGTCTTTAGAAGCTGTAGTAGCTTTGGGATTTTTTTTTCTTTAAATAGTGGTCCATCCACATGTCATATCTTGCTCTAAAAACTCAAGGCAGCTGATCATTACATTAATCCTTTTAATGTCACTTCCTAAACTGTGTCCATAAAACTTGTATCATCTTCCAAATTTTTACAACTGTGATGGTCTCTGAAGAAGACACGTCCTGTACACCGAGTCCTCTCTTACAGATAGAGTTTAATGAGTTCATCACTGACAGCTGACGGAGTTAACACACCGAGGTCTGTAAACAGTAGCGTAATGAGAGACGGTGACGTGTAGTCGATCCAGGGATGCTCCTCTGTTAGATTCTGACTTGTTTTCAGAGTGTCTGCTTTGTACTAGAAGGAAACAGAGACCATTAGTTAATACACAGCTGCAAGTTCAAACTTCTTTTTGGCAAGAGCAGTGCTATGGGCTTGAGCAGATGGTTGTGGTAAAACTGGAGGAAGTAAATTATTTTAAAATGAGGCATAGGCTGGTGCCACCTTGGTCTCAGCGGCTTTGTCTTGTGTATAAATTATAATTTGTAGTTCTGAAGTGTACTGATGTAACTTTCTCACCCTCAGCTGCTCCCATGTGCCACAGGAACTGCTTTAGGACCTAAATGTTAGTATTAAGGCAAACTGTGGCTGCTCGGTGTGTGACTGACATGGAGCAACTCCGTATCCTGTGAAGTAAGCTGTAGTAGAGATCCAGACAAAGGAAGATGTGCTTAGACAAAGACTTTCAGAGACATGTAAGTGTGCATCTTCGCGGGCTAAGAAGCAATTTGGATGTCTCTTACCTTAAATTTATCTGGGACGTCCTGCTGATTTAGAGGGAAGAGTCTTACAAACTTGAAACTTTCTGCTACCACGTAAAATGGCTTGTTCTGAGCTTTGGCGCACACGGCGATTTGATTCGTGCCAATCTGTGGAGACAAGAGAGAAAATAACATGCAGGCTCAGTGTTAGCATGACATAATACTGCCTGGTTTCCAACAATAAATAGATTTTACTGGATAATGTCCACATAGAAAAGATTTTTTGGAAAGCCCTGAATTTTTCAAATAAAACTTTAGAAGTCTATAGAGTTTACAGAACAATTACCTTGTTAATAATGCCTCCGCTTTCAACTACACCTTCAGCACCAACTAACACCAGGTCCACTTTCTCCATAATGTAGCTGTTAAATGGGAGGAAAAAAGTGCAAGTCTTACTGGGTAATGTGACAAATAACTCGCTGAACAGAAATTAATAACTCAAGTCCTTCACTTTTCTGAACTAGTTTCATCTACGTCTTAGGCAAGAATCAAACTTTGGATTCATCGTAGTTTGTTCTTTTCTCAGATTTGGGACTTATACTGAGCAGTGGTAATTAGCATATAGCTTAAAATACCCCAAATGATAACAGATACACAAATGAGGGGAAAGCAGCCTTTTTGTGTAGCACCTCACTTCTTTTTTACAGAAACCCTCTGGTTCTACCTTTAGGCTCAGCTCCTCTTTTCATTCTAAGACGTGAACATCAAACACTTGTTCTGTAGCAGTCATACTCTCCTAATTGTGCATCTAAAAGTGTAACAGGTTTAACTTGTCTGATGACTGTGACAAACCAAGGAATAACCTCTGCAGTCTGAACAAGGTTCTGTGAAAGCTGCTTGTGACGCTATCAAAATACGACTGTGATGAACAGTACTAAGCTTTAATGATCACACTTACCCAACCGCAGCATCCAAAATCACAGTCACAGGAATGTTCAGCTTTCTCAGGGCTTTTGCCATTTTTTGCCTATTAAAAAAAACAATTCTGAAGCTCAAAAGACTTTTCTTTAGAGACAATGTTACAAAAAATGCTGTCGGAAAGACTGCAACCCGTAACTGCCCGTGTAGCCTTGTCTGTAGTTTTGGTGTATGACGTACCCTCTAATAGAAAAAAGTTACTGTGTAGACACAGAAACAGATTCCAACACAGCCAACAGAAGTGAAGGCAGTTTGTTTTAGCAGTCAGGAATTACAGCTACAGAAAGATGAGTCAGTGAATCATTATTAAGATGACAGATTACCTAACCTGTCTCAGCTTTTCCATCAACAGTGTAAGAAACAAAAACTAAAGCACTAATGCTTTGCTACAAGTTATTTCAGTGAAGCTGGAAACATTTATGTACTTGACTGACCATCCTTGATCCTAGTGAAAGACTGGTTAGCAGCACATATTCCCCAGCAGGTAAGATTCATTACTTATTATTTATTACAAATACATAATCAGTCATCTCCCACAGGAAACATAGGTTGTCTGGCACTGCCTGAAAGTCTGTAAGCCTTTGAGGAAAACCTACAATATTTAGTATGGAAAATTACTTGCCAGTATTATTTACTTTCTTTAAAAAACTCGTCCGGAATAATGTGATACTATTCATGACTGCTACCATTTAGAATGCTGTAAACACACCTGGCAGCTTTTCTTAAGGTATGAGAGATTTCCTGCTGGCTGTAATGTCCTCTGTTAACTAAGATAAAACACAAGTCGGTGAGTACTTGCCCTGCTTGATCTGGCTGTGATTCAGTAACATAAACACTGAATCGCTTCTTTGACTCCACAGCTGCTTCTAGCACTCTGAGGACCACTCTTGAGTAGGCATGTGTCAATATTCGCTGTCAAAAAAAAAAAAATCAGACATTACTTTTTGCTGAGCTTTAGGAAACTTTTGTTAATGGTGGCATGGCTTTTACTTCACGCAACTGTTCAGCAAAACGTTAATTAACGACGTACATCACTTGTATTCTACAAACCATAGGACAGCAAACTGCTCTCTGAGCCGGACTTTATGTGGCTGGCCCTGATGCAGCCAGGGGCTGATGACACAGTATTTTAAATGGAAACTTGAAGCTGTGACTCTCAGCACCTCTCGGCAGACCACAAGTTAAGGCTTGATGGTGTGTAAATTGAAGTAGGGGGGAGGAGATGAGCCTTAGAAAAAAATAGTTGAAGGGTGGTGTTACGCTTGTGCGCTTGCAGAAGCCAATATCTGACAATGCAGTTGTGAATATTAATAAACTTTGTGCCCTTCTGTTTTCCCATTACTGCAAGCAACAGAGCAACACGACAAGAGTTTCGGCCTACTTACGGCACCATCCCTGATGAAAGGATGACACAGCCTGGCGATTTTGTTCCGAGAGAGAGACACCTTCCTGAGGAAGATCTCCCCGCGCTCGATCATGATTTCTTTGCACTTGGAGTAGTCCTGGAAAACACGGCGGGGTCTGCTGTGAGGCTGGCGGGTCTCTCCGCCGGCAGGCAGCGTGGCTGAGCGAGAGGGCAGCCGCCCTTACCGAGTACTCCAGGGAGGTGAGGCTGATGAAGCGCAGGAAGAGCTCCCCTCCGGAGGAGACGGCCACCGAGGAGTCCACCCGGGAGAGGGTGTCGATGGCGGCCAGCAAGCTGCTCCTCAGGCCCTGGATGGTCTCCCCTGCGGGGAGGCGCACG